CAGAAAATTTTCACCCTTATGAAACGTATGATTTTATATCATTAATTCTTTTAATATCATTGTAATTTGTTGGGGAATCTTTTATATAAGTACCATGACTTATACTACATAATAAATAACATAATAAATATTTAAATAAATATGTTTTCAACAAAAAATATTATTAATTTTATTGTAATATAACTGTTTTAAGATTTAACGGGAGAAGTGAGTCAAGTGAGTAAAAATAATTCAATTGATGATGGATGTGCATGAAACTTTCTGGTTCCTTGATTCGTTCAACATTTTATATTTGTTAGTAAATAGTATATTCAACAAGTTTTTATTATGAAAAAATGATATACTTAAAAAATAATATAACAATATTTTATAAAATATTAGTAGATACCATTAATAAAATAAAATATTTACCTTATGAGTAACTAACAAAATCTGAAAAATGACATTATTTCATAATGTACCTATAAGTTATAGTTAACTAAAGTGAAATGGTATCTTTGTTTTAATAATCTATATAAATCTACTGTTAGAGCGCAGATATAATTCCTACAAATTACAAATATATTATTTATATATATATATATATATCTATATATGTATTATAAAATAAAGCAAGTAAGAATACGAATTATTATTAGATACCTAAGTTGTTTGTAAATAGTTTCAAAAATTTTATTCAGATTTTTCCAATATAATTTTTAAAAAATTACACTGATAACAAATGATGAATAGGCTACCTACTGCATAAATACATAAAAACAATTTAAATTCATGTATTTCACATATTTTTATTTCAAAAAAAAATAAAAACGTAAAATAGGTACAAATACCTATATATATTAGTATACCTATGAATAATTTTCATATTTTGTCGATGTTTGTTTATTTGTACATATTTGTGAGTTTCTATTACTTACACAATAAATTGGTAAAGTTATGGAATTCCAATTCTGATCCAGGAAACGAAAAAAAAACTAAAACAAAGTTGTTACAAATAATTACTTTTATGCGATTTTTTTATAAATAGAGTGGTTTCTAATTTAAAAACTTTGATGAAAATAAAGTCAATAAGAAAACAATGGTAATTTGTGCTTTGATAATTATTTACTTATTTTTAACAAAGTAATTACTAATTAGAATCGATTTTGCTGAAATTAAATTGTTTTATTTTTTTTTTAATTTACCATAGTCAACACATTGTATACTCACCTACCTATTATTGGTAGTAAAATAACTACCGTACTTACTAAAACTATACCTATTTTAAAAGTTGTTTTCGCTTTTTACTATTTTATTGTCATGTTTATTTCAGATTATTTTTCTGGCAAACCAAAAATGTTAAGGTCAACTGATAAACTCCAATTTCCCTCTCGCTATTCCCCGTTTGTCACCAAAACTTTTTCCGGCTTGACAGGGGTTCAAACGAAATTGCTTTTATTTTTCAACTTTTTACATGGGCTGGACACAACACAGTAATTATTGTCTATTCACATGGAACTAAATGGACTTTATTAAGTCAATAATAAATTAGCATTTTGAAGTTGCCGCTTAAATAATATAAAAATCGTTGTAACATTGAGTAGGTATTATAACATTTCACATTTTATGTTTGATTATTTCATTTCCATGTATATATCAGCAACTTATACATCTGTTTACATACTTTTTTTCTCTTGATTATAAATACTTAAATATATATTTTTTGAAGTATAATAATATTATAATTGAATTAAAAAAACAATAACATTTTTATTTGATCTATTACTGTGCAATAAATAATAATAATTTACAATAAATTAAAAGAATTATAATAGCAACTAATATAATTACCATAGTAACAATAAAAAATATATTTATAAATATCATTATAACAAACAAATAATATTTTTTTTAATTTATAACAAAATGTTTGATGAATTTTCAAAATTAGGTCTCATCAATGTCACACAGTAAACAGTTACAAACAAAATAGCTCAATAGCAGCTTTCAACAAACAATTTTTTATTCAAGATAATCACAACTTAAAATATTTTAATCAAACGATATTTTTATTTCTAAATTAAATTATCTGTTTAATCATTTTATTTATTATCTGTTTTCATATCCATATGCACCTAGATACATACTTAGGTACATCGTGATAGAAGAATGCCCGACATGCATTGTACGCGTGTCGCGTGTGTTTAATTAAAGTGACATTTAAACAATATGTTAATGTTATTAAATTATCATAATATAATGCGTATGGATTATAAACAAAACCAAATAAAATTTAATACAAATTTTCAAAAATAAAAATGAATATTATGCAAGATCTAATAAAAACAAAATTCAAAATGGGTAGGTATGAGTATAAAACTAACATACATGCGTATTTATGAAAATGTATATATTCAAATAACACCAAGCCCAAGTGCAAAGGTTTTTATTGGCGCACGAAAACCAAACAACCTCTATTATTGGTGGAAGTGAATTAAAGGGTCCAGCGTGAAATGTCTTTGCTGGTAAACTATTAGTGGAAATACTCAAATGACAAAGTAAATGTGTGAAATCGAGTTGATTGTAATGCTATATAATTTCAGACCAAATACTCAACAAGGCTATTATATTATGTTGATGGGTGACGTCATGATAAAAATTATTATTTAGGGACTATAAAATTATTGTTCAAGCTTACCTGCAGGTAGGGAATGTTTAAATGATAAAAAAATTAAACCGAGAACTGTTATTTTTAAAATTATATTTATTTAAATTACATATCTCCAATTATTTTTTCCCCTACGAGTAGATAAACAATGGGGTGAACACAAATATTTTTTTTTTTGAAATAATATAATCAACGTTTTAACATTAATATTGATATAATGAGATACACCAAACACTATAATAATGTATTTCGAACATTTAAATTATTTTAGTTTTCCATTATTTGTCAACTTCCGAACAAAACTCTCCTAATGGTTTTTTTTTCTATATAAGATACTTTGTAAAAGTATATATTTATGTGTTTCATTGTTTGAAATTCTACAGTTTTTAATAAATAATTTAATAAAAAAATTAAAGAACATCTAATTTAAGGTAACACTCAATTTTTTTTCCAAGTTTATTATTCAATGCACTATGACTATTTCCATTTTGCACAGTGCCTAACGGTTTAAATGCTTTGATAATGACTGCCCGAGGACGTTTCAGTTGTATACAACAATTCTAATAAAAAAATTATATCCTTCTAAAATAATTTCTTTTTAACCCCAGAGAAGGACGATTCAATTTATTGGAGATACCTATTTTTCATACAAAAATGTATACGCAAGCAAGACTAGAAATCTCAAATTTCATTCATATCTATATTACGTTAAAAAAAATCCTACAAATGTCTATTTTTTTTTCTATAATGCAAGAGAATTTGAGTAATAATTCTATAAGTTGACAATAAAATACCAGACTTTATAACTTTAATTTTAGTATATACTTTTTTCCTGAAATTAACCGTTATAAATAATTTATACTTTAAACATCAAGATATTGGAGTTTGTTATTAATTAATAAGTACAGTGTTACTACTATTATATACTAAAACATGAACAGTTTGATATGGACTTATCTAAATCTGATAACTTAAAATTAATGTCCAAAATATTATAAATATATAAATTATTGTTTTAATAATGACATAAATGACGAGGTAATTAGCACACAATTTATTTACATCAATATTTTTCACGATTTTACCAACTTAATAATTAAAAAGAATGGTATAAACTTCGTTTATTATCGTGAAGTTTATTCTTATACTCAATAACAACTGTACCACAAAATTAGCATTTTAAATGGTGATTTTATTATGAAACCATTAATTAAATACAACTCTGAACTCTTTGCCATTATTATAGCTGTTACGAAAAAAAATAAATACAAATTATAGACTACAGAGTGTTGCAAATGGGCAAAGTAGCTTTGTTATTAACTTATTTAATTATGACTACCTACTCATTATACAACATTCCCTGCAAATGAGGTCCATTATTTTCCGTAGTTCTCTGATTTTAAAGTACGTCATGGAAGTCTTTTTTTTTATCAAATTTAGAGAAACTATTCTCATATTTTAAAATTTATTGTGATGATAATGATTTATACAACGTGTTTCAAACCCTAAGCGCTTCTAAACAAAATGTATACGAGTACATTTTCCAGATCAATTTAATATAATTAAAATGGGTACAGTGTATACATTAAATGAGTGCAGTTATGCATTTGTTTTTAATACGCTATTGCAGTCTAAGGGTGTCAGTAGACAGAATTTTTAATTGCAATGCTAACGTGACAGCTGATTTAGATCATAATATATTGAAAGTACACTTTGTGAAATCGGTTTTGAGCAAAGATATACTGTTGTTTTGATAATATAATTTCCTTAACACAGTTTGAACTAATAGTTTCAATATTCGAACTATAAAATAAAAAATTTACATTAAAATAGGTATTATTAATTAATATTAAAAAACTATATTATTTTTTAATGTTTAAGAAAAATCAATGATCATATAAATATTTAAATTAATTTAACACAATTTTTCAAATGAATACGTTTTAATTCTATTGCTCTGACAATACAGCAATTAGATATGTTACACTCGTATTTCGTTCTATACTTCTATAGAACTATGTTTATATTGGAGAGTTAAGACACAAATTGTCCTTTAAATAGATATAGAATATTGTATTATTTCACAACCATTTCTTTATCATCAATAATATTTTTAAGATTTATTTTTGTTCAAAATTCCAAAAGATGATAAAATTGTAGTAGAATAAAAATTAACAAATATAAAAGAACAGGGGAAACCGGGGCTAAGCGGCGACAGAATAGGGGCGTACCCGGCTCAATAGTCCATAAATTTCAATTCAGATAATAATTATACTACTACTTGATATGATTATTAGATTACCTTTTAGTTTATATACCGATGTTATAATTTGAAAATATTAAATCCACTTACCTTGTATTGATGTGGATCCTTGTTGTGGTGGTGGTAACGTCTCTGGTAGGTGTGGGTTGATGCGCGTTACTATTACTCTACGACTTTTACGATACTATGTTCTTTTCTCTAAATACAGTGCGTTTACTCTTAGCCTTT